TACATAATTACTAATAGTTGCATTTATACTTTTGAAACAATTTTTATGAGGAACCCAATTAATTATTATATATATTAATATATAGTAATGTGGCCTTTGACAGTGTAATTAATGCCATTCATTTTGTATAATTTTATGTGAAAACTTTACAAAATCATTATTTTATTTGTCAAGCTGTGCAGTACTATTCTTATATTTAGCTAAAGTTACTCCTGCTAGGGAGAAAAGTCTATAATTAGTCTAATTAACAGAAAACCAAGACATTTACACTTGCATTTTAGCCTTAAGACCACCTTCTGCAGATTTCATGCACACTGGGTAAGTGTTATGATTTAAGTAGAGTTGAAGGCATGTCCTCTCCTGCTGAGACAGTGACTTCTGGCCATCTTCCCATGGTCCTGGAGCTCACTGAGTGACACTGCTGGAAACCACAGGTCCTGGCAATTACTCTTTAAAACTTGTATGAGGACTGTAAGCCCAATGAGAGGGCTCTGCACTTACTTCAGATGAATAGCAAGCACGGCCAGCGTGGCCAGAAACATGCATCCAGGAGTCTCAGGAGCAATGATTTGGTCTCTGACTGAAGAGCAATGTATACTTTTTTATCTGATGAAATGCAGACACAACTTTTTCCTCGATTGAGCAAAGGTTTTAGTATATTATTATTATTATTATTATGAATGCTTTTCTTCTTTCTAAATGTGCATTGGTTCCTTCCTAAGGGCCGCCTGTTCCGAACATGAACCCTGTCTTTGGTTTTATCGGCTTCGGAGGGGTCTGTTTCTTTTAAGGCCTCCACTACAGCCCTTTCGCTTGTTTCTCCAGGCATTAGAAACCCTTTGAGCAATTTCTATTAATTCTAAAAAAAATTAAGCGCGTTTTTATTTCCTTTCATGTCCCACCCCTGCTGAAGCGCAACACAGCTTTTGGGGCCTCGTAGTGAATACGACCGTGCTCCTCCGGCGTGACGTGGGAAGCACAACCAGGCTTTCCTGGCAGTCATCTCACGTGGGGGACAAGTTTAGAACAAAACAAAGCCAGGGCCTTTGCCAGAGTTCTGCAGAGCAGGGAGCCAGTGTCTGCGGACATGTCCTGCTCTGTACGGTGAGAGTAGGCAGCCAGCATCTATGGCTGCTCTTTGCTTTCCAGGGACTCTCCACGGACGAGAGAAGGTTAGAGCTTTAATCAGATGCAAACACACACCTACATATATATATTAATGCCAAAGATGTGAAAATATAAACAGTTGCTAAAAAATAAATCTCCTTTTACGAGCTGAATTTACATTTCTTGGAAGCAAAGATTAATTACCCACTCAAAAACACATTCCGATTCCCAAACCTCTGGGTGAAACTGCTTCAAGTCTTCAACAAAGACACAAAGCTCAACAGGTTATCTATTTTAACAGCACTGCAAAGCAGATAAAACTTTAGAAAGGCAAAAGATCTTCAGAGGCAACCGAAAACAAAGGCACAAAGACAAATAAATCTACCTTCCAAGGCTTAAACTTTTGCCAAGTGCCCTGGCCGATTCGATTCAAATCCCAGGTTTGTGGATAAAACCACTCCATGTTCTTTAAAAAAATACCACACAAAGGTTTTAAATGTATAAGCAAAAATTTTTGTCCTGATTAAAATTTATTTACTTTTAGCCAACAATTTAAACCTGCAAATAGAAAGCCCAAAAGTAACAATCAAAAGAAATGTTTTTCTGTTTGTCCAGATGTCCAGTCAGTCAGGTCTATATATACACCAGAGTTGCAAGAGAAACACAAAGACATTTACACACCGCGAGGACAATAATTAGACTGGCCAGGTTACACAAAGATACAAACAGCTATGGCTAGCCAAACCTGAGAACCACACTTGTTAAGTGACTAAAAGACAAGGGGCCAACCTAACAAGTCACCGAACTTGTCAATTCAACAAGCTAAGAAACCAGTTGCCAATTCAAGGCATCAGACTTGTTGGCAATTCAACAAGATAGCAAACCAGTTGCCAATTCAAGGCACCAGACTTATTAAGTGACGCTCTGAAAAGACCAGCCGCCAGCTGAACAAGTTACCAGATCCTCAGCCAGCGTCCTGGTGAGAAGCGACCAGGAAGAGTCCAGCCCGTATCCAGTCCCCTTCCCAAGTCAAACCAGAAGACTGGTCCCACAGTCAAACTTACCTCCGGAAGAACAGAAGACTCAGGACGAATTCCAAAACTCCAGCATCTCTAGGCAGCTGCTCAACTGGAAGGTAGGAGTCTGGGGCCCTGGTGAAACCAGGGGACACCTCCCCTAGAGGTTCCACACTTACAGGAGCAGTTGCCGGACAGAAGCATCAAGGCACAGTAGCTTTCCTGGTCAGGGAACCAAAATGTTGCAGATTCGAATAAATGACAACCACTATAATGGCTTGATAATTTAGAAGAGTCTTTATTCGGTTATAACCAGACGGCTAGAATCTAAAAAACAATTCTTTGATTGCAGTCCCGAGTCCACATTTCAGTCCATCTTTTAAAGGTGAAAAACTCATTTATCCTTTGTTCAAGACTTAAGCAAGTGTGAACAGAAGCAAAAAGCAAAATTAATGTTACTTAATGTTTAGGGTTAGGGAGCATTACAGGGTACAGCACTGATTTTAACCTTCTGGGAACTTCAAGAAGAGCAAGCATGTGACCCCAACCAGAGACGAACTGACCCCCTCCCTAGAAATAGGTGTGACAGAGAACACCGAACCTACAAGCTGAGCAGAAAGGCCAGCATGCCACCCCCACACGGAAGCAGACCAGGAAGGAAAAAGAGAAAAAGAGAGCCGGACTAGACCCCATGCTGGCACACCAGGCCCAGAGGATGACATCCCTTCAGGGAGCTAATGGGACACAGAGGGGGCTGGACTGGGTGGCAACAGCTCGTGTCCCCTTACTAGAGCATAATTCAGCAGAGAACAATTCTGGGGTCACACGGTGGGGAGGTAGTGCAGTCTGAACCCCCCACAGTGGGGCAAACCAAGAAAGGAACATAACAGACCAGCAGCTGGAGCAAAGCAAAGCTATGAAGCCCCCGAGGAGCCCCTCAAAAGGGACTCCAGGCTGGGAGGGGCAGCTCCTGGACAGTCATGAAGCCCAGCACACTGACCTGGTATTTTTGTATATTTCTTCTCTTTTTGTTTTTCTCTTTCCTCCCTTTTCTTTTTCTTCTTGTTTCTTTTCTCTTTTCAGTCTCTTTTTTTTAACCAGTTTGGGCTATGTCATAGTCGGTGTGCTTACCTATAAGACAGGCATGGGAAGTGTACCTGAGGAGAGAGCGGTGGGACCAACAGTCCTGGAAAGACCTGGGGGGTGAGGGCGGTGGGGGAAGGGGGTGGTGAGCAGGCAGTGCCATGAACAGGGGAACAACTTGGGTATTAGAGTAAATAGCAAGGAGGAGATAGGGATCAGGGGTTGGGGTGGATGTCAGAGCAACAACAAACTAGCTAAGAGGTGGTACCAAAAGGCAGAAATAAGAGGAAAGTGAAGTGGGGCAAGAGGAAGGTAAGAGGAAACAGAGGGAGGACCTAGGAAGCACAGCAGTGGGTAGAGGTATAAACATAGAGGTGTACATATGTAAATATATTAATCCACAAAAATAGAGATATTGGCCTATGTACATGTATTTATACAGCAATACACTGAGGTAGTAGAAGGACTTCGGGCCTCTGCTCATACCTTTCCTCAATACAAGAACACTTCGTTCTAACAAATCGGCAGTCTGAGATGTTCACCGTCCTGACACAATCACTGAAGACAAAACGGATGCATACGCAAATGTGGTGAAGAAGGCGGATGGTGCCTGGCTATTAAAAGATATAGTGTCTGGGTCTTAAAGACTTGAAGTTACACGAGCCGCCATCCAGCAGAGAAGCAACAAGGAAGGCGCACACGACCGATGCCGCCATAGGAGTCCTAGAGACCGGTAATGGGCACCAGAAAAACACAACGAACAAGCAAAAACATATTGTTGAGAATGAGGGCATTGGAGCAGAGACCCAAAGCCCATCTGTGGTGGGAACAATCCCCCCACAGAGGGGCCACAGGGAAGGGATGAGTCAACCAGGGTGCAGTAAAGCATCGGTGAAACACACAAGATTCCTCTGGTTCCTTGAGGCTTCCTCAGCCCCCACTACAATGACCCCAGTGCTGCTTCTCAATTCAGACCAGACCAGAGATGGGAGCTCATGATACACAGAATCCAGGAACAGGAGTGGGAACAGAGATACCAGAAGGGTAGGGGGAAGACAGGGAGAGGAAGGAAGAAAGGGGGAACCGATCGTAATGACCGACACATAACCATACACCACTCTCCAGGGGGAAGAACAACAGAAAACATGGGGAAAAGGAGACAGCAGTCAGTGTGAGATATGAAAATAATAACAACTTATCAAGGGTTATGAGGGTGGAGGAGGAGGAGGGGTGGAAAGAGGAGCTGATACCAAGAAAGTAAATGTCTAGAAAAGAATGAAGACAACAATATACAAATTCACTTGATGCAAGCAATGTATGGATTGTAAGGAGTTGTAAGAGTCCCCAGTAATGATCTTTTAATAATAAATACATAAATAAATAAGAAGAGCAAGCATGCATTAGAAGGTACCTTCCTTATACAAGAAACAGTACCAAAGTTGACTATAACATTCTGGTTACCATAACAAAATTAACTACACCATTCAGATTACAACATCAAAGGGAACAATATCGAACGAACACAAATTCAAAAAGCTTTGAATTTCAAGGGCAATTGGCGCTATAAATCTCACTTGGGGAGCCAGATCCATTGTCAAGATGGGAAAACATAGGCCTGCAGGTAAAATAATGTGTTAAAAGCCACTGTCAGGTGGTGGCAGGCAGAAAATGAGAAGTGTCCCTCATCTAATTCAGGTTCCTTCTTTGGCTTTTCATCTCATAATTAAGATGTGGAATTCAGAAGCTCCCTCTGTTTCTGAGCTTCATTAAGTGTTGAGTTCTCAAAAGACTCCTCTATCCTGTCAACACCATCATGGGATTCTGCTCTATAAAAATAAAACCACAGTGAACGGCCCTTTGCTTGGGGTTCTGCACGGCATCCCAGAGAAAGAGCAGCAGATACCGGCCTGTGTCTCCCCTCCGCTCTCCAGGGCCCTGACCCCATCCTTCCATGGCTCTTAGGGTGTTTGATGTACCTTCCACGGCAGGGTGTTTCATTAGCAGCAGGAGCCCGAATCTCAGGGTGCTACTCGTTGTCTCTGTTCCCCCCACAAACAAATTAGATCCACAAGCTGCCAAGTTCCTCAAGTTAAATTCAGATGCCGGATTGTCTTTCTCCTGAAAGTGGAAGAGTTCATGGCCACATGAGTTAAAGACACTTTGGCTCCTTTACTTTGGACATGTCATTAGGAAAGACCAACACTGAGAAAGGACATGGATGTCTGGTCAAATAGAGGGTCAGCAAAGAGGGGAGCAGATGGACTGGCTCAGCAGCCACAATCATGGCTTCACAAACCTCAGGATGATGGCACAGAACCAGGTAACACATTCTGTCCCACATCAGGCTGGCACAAGTCAGCACTGACATGGCGGTAACTAGCAAAATTATTAATGACAACAGTATCTACTGTCGCTATAATATATAAAAATATCAAGAATTACCTACATGGTGTAATCATGAGTGCGTGTTGTACTTGCACGGAATGAGGAGGTAGGGTGCCTGGGGACGACAGCACAGGGTGTACCTGCTCCATCTTGTTCAAGAAACAGTCAATGTAGTCCCGAGGGTGGTTCAGATCCAGAGACTCTTGATGCTCCTTGACTTTCTCCATGATGAAATTTCTCACGTCCTGAATTCTTCTTAAGAATGCTCTGTGCTCTCCAGGAAGATGTTTTATGAGTGTTGGCCAGAGATTATACAACTGAAAATGGGGAGGTAAAAAAGTGTATATGTGTGTACACACACACACACACACACACACACAGGAAATTCAGTTTGTGAGAGGAGACCAGCGTTTGGAATGGAACGCCTAACCCTCTGAGCTATCTGACCAAGCAGCGTCCTTTCCCCAGCTTTCATAAAGAAGAGAGACTTCGATGCAAGAGAACAGCCCTTCCCATCTGCTTGCTCGGGTCTCCTCTGCCTAGCCACAGTGGAGAATAGGAGTTTAGGGTCCTTACAAGAACCTTGAGAGCAGAATGTGCTGCCTTCTTTTGTCTGAGTAAACCCATGGTGGGAGGCAGAGGGCAACCTGGCCTCGATGCTGGGCTAAGTGATGCTGACTCATCCATCTGGCCAAGACTGAGGGAAAGTGGCCTGCCCACGTTGGCACTTGGTCCATGGTGTGGGTCAGCACTCCTCACCCCTCACCCTGAAGGCATTCTGAGTCAGGAAGAGAACCCCAAGTGCAGAGACCGTCTCAGCCTCACCTGGTTCGATCGAGAGTTGAGGCGCCTGGAATTTTCATTTAGCAAATTCATCAGGTACAGGAACCTCTCATCAGTGTACTGGAAACGCTCGTTGAAGAGGACGGAGCAGATCACATTACACGGAGCACAGGAGAAGATGAAGGAGGGGTCAAAGGGCTGGGCTGGTGGAAGAAAAGAACAGCTCTGACCTGGAGAAAGGGGAGCACCCTGCAGTGTCATTCCAAGCACAAGACCTCTTCTGCTCTGGGGCAGACACAGTCACGGCTATGTACGATTGGACTGCTCCTGAGACTGACCACGGTGCTCCACGAGGACACGTGACGATACACTTCAACTCACAGCGGCTCCACGTGTGTCAGAGCAGGACTGTGACCCGTGGGGAGTGTAATGGCTGACTTTGGGGAGAGTTTTCAGGCCTTTAGTTCGTAGGTGAGCACATTAAGCACCTGCACCACCTAGGACTTCATGATCTACTAACAGCAGCCGTCATGTGATGCAGTGTTTACCACAGGCTGGGTCTTATGTAGCAGCCCTGGTGATGTGGCGGGCTGCTGTCTGTAAGCCCCGAAGTTCAGATCCACCAGTCCGCACCGTGGGAGAAAGATGGGCTTTTTACTCTCGGAAAAACAGTGACAGACTCAGAAACCACAGGGGCCGTTCTCCCCTGTCCTACAGAGGCGCTGTGAGTGACATTGGGGTGAAGGCGGTGAGCTTTGGGGTATTGTGGACACGTGTTCTATTATTCAGTCCTCGTCCTGAGGTTTGACTTGTAGCCCTATTTTTTTAGGGTGAGGAAAATGTCCTAGCGGAGCTCAGTTCCGTGTCTGAATGTCTGGACTCGTGGTGCGCAGGGAGCCCTGGGCACACAGTGTTTAAAGCTGGAGGTTGCTAACCAAGAGGTGGGTAGTGAGGACACCCACCAGCCTCTCCCTAGAGGGAGCTGTGCGGTCGGCTTCCATCCAGAGTGACATCCTGGAGACGCTGTGGAACAGTGATGCTCTGTCCTCCAGGCGGCTGTGCAGTGGAATGGCCTCTCCTGGGGTGGGGCTGGGTTTGGTTTGGTAAGAGCCCCATTGGGACATCAACCAAGTCAAAAGGATACCAGAGTCCTGACTCATTATCTGCCCCACTCCTTTCTCCTCACTAACTCCCTGCATCAGAGCAGATCCTGGGCTCGGACACTCAATGGTGCCGCCGATTCTGACTCGGCCAGCATAGAACCGCCCCTGCGGGTCTCCAAGACTGGATCTTTCCTGGAGTAGAAAGAGGCGGCTTTCTCCTGAGGAGCAGCTGGTGGTTTCAAACTGCTGACCTTGCTCGCTAGCAGCTGTGCTAGATATATAATCATTTGTCAATTTGAGGATTAAGAGTGTAGGGATGAAGCCTAGCTTGTCAATCAGATCACAGCCAATGAGGCCTCTGTGTGGGCATGGCCTTCTCCTGCCAATTCTGGGAAATCCAGTATTTTCCTCCTTGGAGGCAGAAAAGACTCTCTCCCTGCTTCACACCCTGGGAGACATAGCACCTGACAAGACACATGGACCCACCATGGTGCAGCCCAGGGTATTGGAGAAGCCATGCAGAGACCCCTGCCAGAGCTGAGATGTTTCCATTGACACTGGTCCAAAGACGTTCTACCCTCTCGCCTGTCATTGCATGTGTTTTGTGAGTCTGAAGAGGACTGTATACATTGGTTTCAGACATATGGGCTAATATCGGACTTAGGGTCTTGATCTGGACTGGGCTGGGCTGTTTTCTCAATGTTCAATTGCTCTTGTATATAAACCTCTTTCTTATACACGAGTATCTCTATGAATGTGTTTCTCTAGTCTACCTGGACTAACACAGCAGACACAGCTCCTAAGTGCCTCCCCGAGGAGGAGCGTGTAGGTCAGTGTGGGGGGACATCCTGGCTCCCAAAGGTCTGCTGAGTGAGACTCACCCTTTGTTTTCCGGAGCTCCTCCACAAGGCACCGGGCTTCCTCCTGGATCCTCTCCTCGATGCTCCTCTTCCCCATTCCAAAGTTCCTCAGGGTCAGGAGGGAGAAGCGCCGCATGTGCTTCCACCTCTCTCCTTGACTGAAAAGGATTCCTAGGGGGAAAGAGCAGAGAACCAGAAAGCACTTTGGGTCCTAGAGCCCGAGTTCCCAAGGGCCCATCTCGTGTGTCTACCTGGGTTCCCCCAGGGCCCTTATCTGGCAATTCAAGGGCACATGTGTTCTGTGGTTTGGACCACATGTTTTTTTTAATAAATCATTTTATTGGGGACTCTAACAGCTCTTATCACAATCCATACATCCAGTGTGTCAAGCACATTTGTACATATGTTGCCATCATCATTTGCAAAACATTTTCTACTTGAGCCCTTGGTATCAGCTCATTTTTTTCCTCTCGCCTTCATGAACCCTTGATAAGTGATAAATTATTACTATTTTCATACCTTACACCATCTGCTGTCTCCCTTCACCCACGTTTCTGTTGTTTGTCCTTCTCAGGGTGGGGGTTACATGCTGATCATTGTGATCAGTTTCCCCTTCCTTTTTCTTCTCCCCCCACCTTCCCCCTACCCTCATTACTATTCCCATTCCTGTTTCTGAGGGGCTTATCTGTCCTGGATTTCATTTGTCTAAAGTTCTTATCTGTACCAGTGTACATGCTCCAGTCTGGACAAATTTTCTAAGGTAGAACTGGGGTCATGATAGTGGCGGGGAGGAAGCATTAAGGAACTAGAGGAATGTTGTGTTCCCTTGGTGCTCTAATGCACCCTGGCTGGCTCGACCCTTTCTCCCATGATTTTTTTAAATCATTTTATTAGGGGCTCATACGACTCTTATCATAATCCATACATACATCAATTGTGTAAAGCACATTTGTACATTCATTGCCCTCATCATTCTCAAAACATTTGCTCTCCACTTAAGCCCTGGCATCAAGTCCTCATTTTTCCCCTCCCTCCCCGCTACCCCCTCCGTCATGAGCCCTTGATAATTTAGAAATTATTATTTTGTCATATCTTGCCCTGTCCAACGTCTCCCTTCACCCACTTTTCTGTTGTCCATCCCCCAGGGAGGAGGATTGGACCACGTTTTGTGATACAGAAAAGCAAAGCCAAGCTCTGGTCACAACGTGGACGGATGGTAGCATTGGACGGGGGTTGGGGACCATTGGCAGGTGGAGCACATTCCCACACATGACTTTGTTCATTCCATCTGGCTGTGTGAAAGGTCAGTACAAATGGCAGGTGAGCTCACAACACCCCTCCCCGGGGCTCTGGTTTTACACTTCTCTCTCTCGGAGGATTTGGTTTCACAGGTGATCCGTGATCTTCTCACTAAACTCACCACGCGGTTTTGCATCCTCATTTTGCTCCTGGCTCACAATTTCGTCGCTGCCCTATTTCCTTCTTTGAGTTTCTGGCTCTCCTTTCAGACGCATTTCTAAAAGCTTCTCTGGGAAGCCTTCTTGGGACGCTTCTGCAGGAGGGAATCTGCCTTTAACTTGTTTCCCCCTTTCTTTTAATGTCTCAGTGCCATTTCTCTTTTCTACCCGAATTTCCATAATTTGTTTCCTGCCGTTGTTTCTCCTCAGAGGTTTTGGTCTCTTGTAGTTAGGTATTGGACTCACCTCTCCAAATATCCCCTGGGAATCCTGACCCTCTACCTTGTGCCTAGCTCAACATGTTTCAATATCTGTTCAATATCCATTTCGCACCCACTAAATCAGCAAGCATTTAAAAATTGTATCAATTTTCCACAATGCTGTTGGAAATTTAAGGGGTACTTAGTGAAAATAATTAAAACTGTCTTTGACCCACTGATTGCTCTTCTAAAATTTATAGAAATAGTTCTACAAACGTATAAAGATGTATGCTGCAATGCTATCCTTTCCAATTTAAGGAAACTGTAAGCAATTTAGACAATAATAATAGGGCAATTATTTGTGCAGTTACAGTAAATCAACATTAAAAAAAATCAAACCCACTGCCCTGAAGTTGGTGCCAGTCCATACAGTAAATCAACATTAAAAAAATCAAACCCACTGCCCTGAAGTTGGTGCCAATTCATACAGTAAATCAACATTAAAAAAAATCAAACCCACTGCCCTGAAGTTGGTGCCAATTCATACAGTAAATCAACATTAAAAAAAATCAAACCCACTGCCCTGAAGTTGGTGCCAGTCCACAGTGAGTCCATAGGACAGAGGCGAAGTGCCTCACAGGGCTTCCCAGGCTGTGTCTGTGGGCGGAAGCAGACCACCACATCGTCCGCCCTCAGACAAGCTGGTGGGGTCAAACCGTCCACCTCTCAGTTAATAGGCAAGTGCTTCAACCATTGAACCACCAGGGCTCCTCAGTCAACACTTTCAAAACCTTTTGAATTGATTCTGACTCCTGGCGACTCTACAGAGCAGAGCAGAGCTGCTGCCCAGGGTTTCCAAGGCTGTAATGCTCATGGGCGTAAACGGACTCATCTGTCTACCATGGATCGACTTGTGGGTTTGAACCACCAACCTGTCAATTGACAACACAGTGCTCAGCCCCTGGTACACCCAGGGCTCCTCCACATCAGCATTAGTCATCAACAAACTAAGCAGCCGGTAAAATGATGATTCTGAAAACGGTGTAGAAATATACAAAATGACAGGTGTATCCTAAAAGAGATCAGTTTGCACACATTTCGGTGTACTAGGACTACAGCTGTGTAAGATGTATGGCAACATGGGAAGATGATACATACATAGAGCTGTGTGCAGTGTGTTGTAGCAGAATACTTAATGCTTGTGGCCTCTACACTTAGACAGTGCATTCAAATCTCTGCTCCCAGACTTTCTATGATGGGCAACTCTGTTTACTCCTGTTGCCTCAGCTTCTGCATCTGTGTGGAAATTAGAGTATATTCTTCATGGGACCACTGCATTGACTATATACAATAATGTCTATAAAACATTCTATTATGTATCTGGCATATAAAAATACTCAATGAATATTAATGGTATAATCATAGCTATTGTTATTTTGCTGCTTAGGGGTAATTTTTACAAAAAATATAACAAGCATTTTGTTATATTCAGAAATTCTGTGGGTCAGTAATTTGGCCAGGGCTCAGCTGGGATGGTTAGTCTCTCCTACACACAGTCCAGAGCCTACCTTGGGAAGCTTACGGTTATGTGACAGCTTGGTTGGGCCATGATTCTCTAGTTTGGGAGTCATGAGACAGCTTGACAGTTATCACTCCATGATGTAACCATCTCCAGGATAAGGTTTGCTATGAACTGCCAATCAGTTGACATGGATTTTCCTCAGTAGGGTGGCCTGCATCCAACATGAGGGGACACTTAAAAGTTAATGGAAAAGTGGAATTAAAAGCATGGAATTTCCCCACCAACGTGTGAAGTCCCTTCCTATATGTGAACTCTGGCAAAGTCCACCAGCCTTTTGCTCGATCTAAATCCCGCATCTGGCCCATCACCTGACACCTGGGTTTTGAGACTTGAGACGGTGGCCGATTGTATTGCCCACCAATGTCGGGGCGGATCCGCCTCGACGGCCCATGAGCCAGCAGCCTGCTGCCTGACCTGCCGATCTAGGTTCATGCACTCGTTGCAGAGACAGGTTCATGCATGCTTTCTTTGCAGTAAACCTGTGCATCCCTGAACCGGGACTCCAGCTGCGATGCCTTTTTATTTACCCTGTGACACATAGTATGTACATATCGCATCAGTTTCTTAGTTACATGAGCGCGTGTCCAGTCTTGGTGGCTCAATAGTTACACATTGGGCTGTTAAGCACAAGGTCAGCAATTTGAAATTCCCAGCCGCTCCTTGGGCAAAAGACAAAATGTTCTACTCTTGAAAATATTTAGTCTTGAAAACCCACAGGGGCAGTTCTACCTTGTCGATGTGAGTTGGAATTGACTTGATAGCACTGAGTTTTGGGGGTTTAGGATGTGTGTGTGTATGTGCGTGAGAGAGAGAGAGACAGAGAGACAGACTGGTTTTGCTCCTCTAGAGAACTGATCCTAAGACAAAAGGCTTGCTTGAATGGCTGGGAGTGATTTGAATGGCTGGGAGGTAGAAACATTGGGGAAATGCATCTGATACTGGGGTTGGTATGACTCAAAGCCTGGGCCCAGCTAAGGCAGTTGATTGGATCATCTCCACGTGGCCTCTCCTGTGACTTGGGGCTCCCCACACCAGGACAGCTGGGTTCCAAGCAAGAGTGTCTGGAAAACGTGGCAGCTTCTGTGAGCTCTCTTGGAAAGTTCACTCTAGCTCCCTTGTGGGCGCGGGGTGCCAAGTGAGCGCAGTCCAAGCCCCATGGACAGGCCACAAGTCGTCGTTCC